CAATATTGAGAACAATAATAACAACAAAAAAGTGCAACATTGATATCCCATGAGGCTGGATATTTCTAGCAGGGGTAATCATAAAAACTTTGAAACACATAATATGAACAAATCTCATGTAAACTTTTTTTTTTTTTTTTTTGCATTGTAAATGATGCATTGGCTCAATATGTTCCTGCAGGAAACATGAGTGTGGAAATTGTGTTCCTCCAAAGTTTCACTTTTCTCTATTTTATCTCGAGTCAGACTTTTTTGTATCCTTGCACAAACATTTTACATCTAGATAGTTCAGTACCTACAGGATAAACTGAGTCAGTGTTCATTTTTCATTTCTCAGGAAGCTCCTTTACCTTATAGGCACATCATGGCTGTTTGCATTGGCCACAGCGTTCTCACCAGAGGGACCATGAACCTGAGAAACCTGCCCTCTCTTCTTCTTTTCACTACATTCTCCTTATTATTAAGGTATGAAGCATCTTCATAGAGTTGAATCTTCCTCCAACCATTTCTCAGAACTTATTTCATTATTTTTTTTTCCTTTTACGCCAGTACAGTTTAACATGTGTGCACACTTTTGATAAACACCTCTCACTAACCGTTCTGATTTATGTTTGTCCTGAGATCTAAACGAATAGCTGGAGAAAGGTTATTACTGCAATGCAACACCGGGAAGCAGAAGAATCGATCAATCTTCTGGAATCAGACTAATTGGTATTTGGATACACTATCCAAATACTATATGGAAAATAAAATGACTGGAAACTGTTGTGGTTAGTTACATTTTTCAGTGCACATGTTTTTGTAGTCGTGATTTTTTTTTTTTTGTTTGTTTGTTTTGGCATGACCTAGTTTATTAATTGTTCATCCTTCTACCTTGTTTCCTGTAGGGTAGCCTTTGTCTGGTGCGCTGCCATGTGCAATAATCTGTAAGTACCTGTTATTTATATCCATTATATTTTAAGAGCCTAACCCTAAAATTGGATTCTTTCAACGCCAGAAAAAAAGAAAAGAAAATCTAACATACTTTCTTCTGTTTTGCATTCGTAACAATACGACTTGAGTCTTTGACGTTTGCGGAAGATTGGTAAATATATTTGATTGAGCTTTTGCCACTATGATTCATAAAGATCACATGGCAATGGGAAATGTTCTCCGGTACCTTACCAAACAAAATAACAAGGTCCAAGGGTGTCGCTCTTCACAGGTCAGTAAAAACTTTGAATTAAGAAATATAGCGAGGGAGATGGAAGTAGGTTAGCTATGCTAGCTTGACCATGAAAATCACATGTAGATGTGCTGTGGAATTCGGTTTGGTTAGGTTCAGTTAAAAAAAATTAGGTGACCCACACACCAACTCTCTGACAGATCATCTGTAGAGCAGGTGTTTAAATTAGCTAATCGACCAGCGCTGTGTTCAGACAGTGACTGGTTAATAATCACAAAGTAAACATCAAGTCTGAGAACATCAAACTATTACAGACTGAATGTTCTGTTGTCTGTGTAGGAAATATTTGCGTGTTTTTTGTTTTTGGTATTGAACTCTGATACACCCGCAGAGCTGTTGTTGGTCAGTATGTAACATAGCTGACAGAAAGCGAGAAAAAAAGAATACATGTGGTTGTTCACCAATGTTTTTCTGCATTATTTTCCCTCTGCTGTGGCGCACTGCACTAAATTAATGACACCGACATCTCCAGGTTTCATTTTGTTATTGGAGTTGTTCTATAGATGGATGGCAAGTGAAATAAAAGTCTTCTTGCCCTCCAGTGTTGTGCGCAGGCGTGAAATTTCTGAATGTAAACAACATGCAACGTGTCTATAGCGCTTCTGCACATTTATTGACTGTATTCATGCCAGGTTTGACAAGTAGATAAAGAGAAAAAAAGTTCATATTAGTGAATTAAAAATCTCTGAAGTGGTGTCTGACAAAACTCATGATACAAACTTTTGCTTCTGAAGTTCTACTCAAACGCTAACACCCATTGATGCCACTTCTCTTCCTCTTGTGCTAAGAAAGATAATTAACCTTGCAGTACGCAGATAGGCTCATCCGGAGGGCATTTATCTTGCTCCTTAACGACACCCAGGTTATCTCAATGCCTGCCCGCATTATCACACTCTTTTCTGAAAGGCTGGTTATGCTGTAGGAGCCGAGAACGTGGCTACGCAATAGTGTCAAACTGAGGCTAAACAGCTTTGTTTTTATGACTGTCTTTGAGATTTATATAACTGGAATTTTACAGTGTTCTTTTGTACTTGGGGACATCTATCCATTATGTGGCTTTTATTTAAAGATACCCACACATCCCTGTCTTGAAGTATAAAAATAGCAGCAACTACTGTTCCGACATCAATTTGTTAGAAGAGTAACATTTTTCTTAGAAGCAAATCGTAGCAATTGTCTGCATACAATGTTGCGAATGAGTTCATGTTAGTATTTGACCCTCATCCGGCAGAACGTTCATGGAGTCAGACACTGATGTTGGACAAGAAGGCTGATAATACACACCCATTCAGCAATTTATTGATGAAATCCCCATTTTGTTTCAGGAACTTCATCACTTAGTGAAGAAAATTATAGAAGTACACATAGATGGATGTTTGAAAGACTTTATTTCCTTAAATGATTATCTGTCAGATTTTCCTCTGACGGATAATAAAAACATGACATTTGAAAATAGAATATTACATCACACCAAAAAAATAATTAATACAGAAATGCAGCCTTAATGAAAAGTATGCTTAATATCTAATTAAAGGTTGTCAATTTTCGAAAGGATAATTAATTGAATATGGCAGCAATAATAACACAAATAATAACATTACTTGATCTTAGTCAATGTTGTGCCCTATGCACAGAAATAAAGATGCCAGATTCTTGAAACTGAAATTGAGACTGCAGGTATGACCTACTTTCTGATTAATCTGATTAAAAATTATCAGACTACTAAATTCACACTCAGAACATTGAAATCTATTCCCCAAGGGTTGAGCAGATACTTGGATACACACTTTACACATCCCATCCTGATGCTTTGTAGCACAGCTTTGCTCCCAATAGACAGGCACTATTCAAACTGTTGATGAAAAAGAATGACCAAAAAAAGACACAAATTCTTTGAAGGCAAGACAGAAAATTATCTGTTTCATTTTGTCTCATCGGGAAATGCATAACAAGTGTTTTTCCATGCAGCAGCATTTATTGTAAAGTGGGAAACTGTGTGTCAGGAACCTAACTTCTGAACATTTCATTTAAAATACAACATACACCAAGAGCTTTTTTTCTCTCTCTCTCTTTTTTAAAAATGAAAAAGATGTCAGTGAGTAGGAGTTCAGCATTATGCCCAGGTACGCTGCACACACAGAGGTACCAGGGTAAATATAGCGTCTCTCTGATTTCAAAACAATGGCAAAGAAATAATTATTAAACAAACAAGCAACAATGTATTTTTCAAACTTGCATTAGTGTGGGAGGTATGAGCTGGAGGATGGCCGTGCTGCATAATTAGAAGAAAAAACAAAGCAGCCCATCGGGATGCGTTTAGAAGCAGACCTCTCCAACAACCCCTCTTTGTTTTAATGCACTGAATTATGTGCTCTCTGGAGCACAGAAATAGAAATCAATTAAACTCTACATACCTCATCCAACTAAACAACTTAGAACCAGCGGGTTTTTATTTTTTTTATTCCAGAATAACTCATCTAATTAGAAGTTTTTGCAGAAGACTGCATCGTCGTACAACAATTAGGAAAGAAAAGTTTCAGCATTTTTCACAGTCTTCCCCCACCAAGCAGCAGCTCTAGCTTACTCATCCCAACAACACGCTAACAAAAGCTGATTCGATTTTCCTACTTATGTTTGGATTTAGGAAGCTGCTACAGAGGGAAACATCTGCAACCAAAGCAACATTAGGCCAGAACGCTGCTGCTGCTGGCAACGGCCAAACAGCTACAACAGGACGAAGCGGCTCCGTATCGTACTGGATGCACCGTGGACAGACGTTGACTCGTGACAAACTGAAAGCGAAATAAGCCAACATCGTCTGGTGATTGGACTGATGTGTTTCAAACACATATATTTTAGTTTTTGAAGAAAACAGTGGGTTCTGCTTCAGGAAACACTGGGTGGCATAGAAGATTAAGACGAACTCACCAGAATAGGTTAAAATCCCAGTTCATAGCTTTTCTCTATGAAGCAGTCATTCATATCCGTTGAAGTATTTTTATTTTTTTTTGTCATGTTTTGACCACAAAACGCTATGTATTTATTAACGGGATGGTATTATGTAAAATCATCATTTTGGAGATTAACGTCACTTTATAATGTTATTCCCTCATCAAAAACATACCTGGAGTGTCGCTGTGATTATTTTATATTTGGGAAATCCTTTAATCTCTGAGCTGCGATTTCCAATCTCCCACCTCACAGAGCAGCCATTAGCAAACGCCTCCTGGATCCTGCTGAGCTTATTATACAAACTATTCCTCAGTGAAACGCTGGTAAAAGTGTTGCTAAAGGGTTAATAGAGGAGCAATGCAGTCATGACTTCCTGAAGGCGGAGTTTCGGAAAGTGCAAGAGTTTCTTAAAGAGACAGAGATCCAATTTCAAGGCGCTAAATTACAATCGAATTTCTTTTAGGTCATATTTTATATTTATGGCATTTTAATAATAATTGAAGGTAACAGTTAATTATTTGTGTTACAAAATGGTACAGTATGTGAGGAAAATACATAATACTGCCCCTTTAAATTAGGGCCAGGTTATGAAAAATTAAGTTTTGAACATTTCACCATTCACTGGTCAAACCATCATCTTTAAATGTTACAAATTGGTACAACTGAACCTACCAATGGCTGTTCAGCTAATTATGCTGACCTGTCACACAGATACCCCCTGAAGTCCAAAGAAGAAATAAAAAAAAAATAAAGTAGATTTTTTTTTTTATCAGCTTGGTCCATAGATTTTCAGGTGAAGTTACAGGAAACTTCTTGCCAAGATCCGCACTCCAGTCCCGCAGGTTTCTCTCCTCCGCCAGCTTGTAATCCAAATAATCTCGCGGCTTTTGTCAGCGGGTATCAAAGTGCATTAAAGGGATGCAGACCTCCTGATACTGATCTCAGTCTGTCCACTACAAACTACAGCTCCCTTCCTCCCTCTCTCCTCTCCTCTTCCCTTCTCTCCCTCCCATCGCACTCACACTTCCCCCGCAGCCTCTCTCTGTTTTCTTGGACTGCAGCAGAAAAATCCGCTGCATCGCACAAGAACAGAAAGCAGAGATCTGGCTGCGATGTCTGCTCCCTCTGTATCGGTGTAAGTGAGGAGGAAATCCGGGAACGGAGCTGTTGGACTCATCGGGCTCGCTGCGATGCTTTCTGGTTCCCCTGGAAATTGTAAGTAAAAACGCTTCATCTTTTTAAAATCATTATTATTAATAATATCCGCATCTGTGAACTCATCTCGTCCGCTGCATAGTTTTTATTTCCCTCAAAACTGTATTTTTTTTTGTTACATATTTCTTATCCATAAACATATCCATCTGCATGTAGCCTCTCATAATTTGAAGCTAACTTGGAATTTGAACGCGGCTGTAAAATTAGGAGGTATAGTGGTTTGGGATGATTGACGGGAAAGTTGGTTAGAACTTTTCTCGCTCGTGCTTTCGTGTCTCCCCCCCCCCCCCCACACAGTGTTTATTATTATGTGCCACGCATTTCACCTGTCGGTTATCGAACCCGTCAAAGAACCCGTCAAAGTTTTGACGAATATGCGGCTGAAGGTGGGGGGGTTCATGTTCGGTGTTGAATTAGGGGTAAAAAATAAATACATAAGTAACGCAGAACCGGTCCACGCACGACCTTCTCCATCCTGTACAGTAATCACTGCAGGAAATCAGTTCCGTATGGTCGTAGTGTGGCGTCCTCGGCGGATTGATTCGCAGGAAAGCAGGACAGCATACCCAGAAATCTAATTATGGGACGCGCGCGACTCCCGCCGCCGTGATTGATGCTGCTTCGTGTAAGTGATGTGTTCCGCTCGCGCCCCGTGGCGCCGCTCTGCGAAGCCCGCAGTGGAAACGCTGGAAGTGGAACAAAAGAGGTTGGGTTGGAGTGGGGGGGAGGAAAGTGACAGATGAGTTCAGCATTAAGCCTCCACCAAACTTCTCTGTCAGCTGGCCAGGTGTGTGTTTCCAGGTAGGTTTTGTTGTTGTTGTTGTTGTTGTTAACCATTTGAACAGGTGTTTGTCCAGTAATGAATTTTATGTTTGCTCAGGGAGAGCAGTATGAGTGTCCAGTCCACCCTCTGTGTTGTGGCAGTTTAATATCGGAGGAAAGCAAAAGGGTGCAGTGGCAAAGAGAAAAAAGCATCAAGAACGTTTGAACCTTTCTGTGTTTTGTCGCATTGTAACGTCAAACTTCGTTGTGTCTTACTGGGATTTTATGTGACAGGTCGCCAAAAGGTTGTGCATAACTGTGAAGTTTACGAGTAAAACCTGAAAATTGTGCAATTGTAGTTAATACTCCAACATCAGATGAAGAACGTTTCTAGGATTAAAAGACTAATGTCTAAAGAAACTCATCCATACATTTATCTTTAGTTACTGCAACAGAGGCTGGGTTTTCATTACAAATATTTACAAAAACCAGGAAGATAGAGTATAGAGTATCTCATCCCAGTTATAAAGCTTCTGGCTTCCTGTAGCTCAGAGAAGAGACTTTAAAATACTTCTACTAGTTAATAAATCACCAAACGACTTAGCACAGTAATACATTAAAGACCTGCTGTTGTATCAGTCTTCCAGACCTCTCAGGTCTTCTGGTTCTGGTCTTTTGTACAACCAGAACCAAACATGGAGAAGCAGCTTTCAGCATCTATGCACCACAAATCTGGAACAAACTTCCAGAAAACTGAAATTGCCAAAACACTTAAATCAAGGCTAAAACCCCAGTGTATGATAAGCCTGGCGGGCCACCAGGCTTTAGTTGACCCCCCACCAGGCTAAACGTTATTTATTTATTTAAATACATCAGTAACAGTGACAGCAAAGATGGGTTTAGCTAGGTTTATGTATAATAAAACATTCTATCTCTTTAAAAAAGCATTTGATTATACATACAAAACCAACAGGAAGACTAGTTTTATTTAGTGCACTGCAATATTTTCTTTATTCTTGTTGTTTTATTTCTCACATTTTCTGTTGGTTTTTAGCCTTTTTTTTCAACACAAAAAACACAGTGGAGTGACTTCGTTAGCAAAACTGGGCTTAGCTAGTTTTCTGGAGGAAACCTTGTATATTGCTTCCTTCTTAATTGGTTAATGTACTTTGTTTCTATGAGGTAAGGCACTTTTAATTGCCTTGTTGCTGAAATGTTCTATACAAATAAATTTGATGTAGCCAGTTCTTTATAGAACCGTTACAGGAACTCCAGGATATTTGAAATATACTGCTTTCTCACTCAAACAGGATGAATTTTTCAATAATTTTTTAAGCACTCCCACAGATTACCAACTGAATTTAGGTCTACACTTTGACTGGGTCATTCTAAAAATAAATAAATAAATAAATAAATAATATCTTAATGATGCCGTTTGTTCTCAATCTTCTCTACTAAACCTCTGAGGCCAGAAACAAAACAGTTTTACGCTGACAGTAAATTATACACAAGTGGACTCTCTTTACTAATTGCATGACTTCTGGAGAAAATTGGTTGCACTGGATTTTAATCAGGAGCACCGTAGTATCTGGGTGAATACAAAAATGCAACCGACTCTTCTCATTATTTTGTAAACCATTTTAAACACTGCGTGTCACTTCCACTTCAGAATTATGCGCTGCTTCATGTTGGTCTGAAATCTCTACTGTTGTTCCGTTTTTGCCTTTTGAATGAATGGATGAGCAATTTAAGCAAATGGTTGTGTGTTACTTTTATTTGCATTCATCCTCATTTACCTCAAAGTAAAAATATCACAGTTCATTTGAAATAAGACAAAACTAACTTGCATGTTACTTTTCAGCAAGATATAGGATTTTGTTTTAAGGCAATAATTATCAAATATTAGTAGGGAGGTTTTTTTTGTTTTACATCGGAAAACCATTTTGTTTTCTATGTTTTCTAACTTGTTTTGAGAAGGTTATTTTTTGCAGTGTATAAGACACAGGAAGAGATTTTGGTTATAAAATAAGTTTTCTATTTTTTTATCTCTAGGAGACAAAAGAAAATCTTGATTTTCTAAATCATGATTAAATTAAACTATTATTTTAACTCAGAGCAACAGAAGTACAAGCAAAACCTGCGAAGTTTGAGTCAAGAAAAATGAAAATAGAAGTGAAACATTCACACAGAAACCCCAGAGCAGCTGGACATTCTCCTGTAGTGTGTAAACCCTCACAGCCACTATGACATTCATGCAATCAAGCAGCTCACTGTGTGTGTGTGCGCGCGCGGACGTGTGTGTGTGTGTGTGTGTGTGTGTGTGTGTGTGTGAGCATAGACAGGGGCGATCCCACACTAAGCATTGGGTTGTTTAGCAGCTCTCTGCGTCAGAGCAGCTGTTAATATATGAAATGTTGCGCTGCTGCCCTTCATTTGTACTCAGTGGATCTCTGGACCTGGAAGGCATGAAGCCCGTGGTTAACGTAGTGTGCGTTCATCGCTTTTAATCTAAACTGCTGCGCCGCTGGCACTCTGCTTCTCTTAAGGATGTTTGAGTATCAGATGCTCTGGGAGATTTCCAACACGATAAGCGTTCAGAGTGCTTCAAAACCTGAAAATGTTCAACTCACGTTGTTTTGATTTCATCTAAAGAATCAACCTGCGTTCACATCAGACGTCCTGAGGTGTACGTTAATCAGTAGTTTTCTTTCAAATCCAGGGAGAACAACTCACTTTCCAAAGAGCGTAGCAAAATGAGGATGTTGTATGAGATAATTTAGTTGTAATGTTGGTTCCACATGCTTTGTGTCTTTATTTTGTTGATATGTTTTGCTTTTTCATGTGCAGAAGTCTTTTTGAAATCCCACACTATGATTTTTTTTTTAACCTTCATCATCCCTAATTTTATTATTTTCTTCTCTAATGAATGGGCAGCTGTACCTCTCTGCCCATGTGTTATGTTGTTTGTTTTTGTCCTTTTGTGTTATTTGGATGGGCTACACTGAAAAAAATTTCATTATGGCAGATTTTTCATCCACTGTATTTTACAGCTCATGAATAAAATTGACAAAATTGTTTGAGATTAGTCAAATAAAAAAAAATGCAAACACCCATTACCTGTCCACCAAGCTGGATTCTACATGTAGATCTTTCACTCTGCTGTTTGTACGCTCATTTTCAAAATCAGCTTCACCTGCTAATGTCAAGAAAGTGAGAATGTAAAGATTTGCTCCTACAGGCAGTTGTAAACTCAGTCTGCATTTAAAAAAAGTCTTACTGTTGTGTTACTTTAGAGCAAGTTGTGTAGCATCTGCAGAGCTGGTTGTGTAGCTTTATTCACATGATGTGCATGAGTAGATGTTCACCGCAGCCATCTGGGAGGACCCGATCCGAGAAAGCCTGCAGGTCTCTGTACATGCAACTGCACTTATATATTTTCATCTAATGTAGCACGACCATGTGGAGGATTTCATCTGGGTTAAAATGACATATATAAAATCACAAGTTTCTTTTGATTGAGATAATTTGTTTGCTTAAACCAGAAAAAAAGGAATAATGTAATACGGATTAAAAGATTAATCGGTTGTCCAATTAACTGGTTGATCTTTGCTCAATAATTGGCACCAGAAACACAGAAATATACTAATATCATCAAAATGGTGCAACTTCAGAGAGCGCATTGCTGTTATGATGAAATAAATTGTGCTGAGAGACTACTGTACCAAGCATGGCGGTGGCAGTGTCATGGTGTGGACCCGTTCAATAAATGAGAACATCATTTATTTCTGTTCATTAGGAAGATTTTCCACTTACAGTTAACGGAAAATTTAAAATAAGAATATTACATCAGTAAAAAAAAAAAAAAAAAAAAAAAAAAAAAAAAAAAAAAAAAAAAAAAAAAAAAACTTTTTAAAAACATAAATGTGCCGGTATAAAACGGAAAAGTTTTATATCGGCTTTATGGTTGTGATTTTCTAAAGATACTTAGACTCTGACAAAAGAGACTCATTGGTTTGTAATTTATTGATTATGACTATAAATGAACATGGCTGGAGTGAAGAGGCAGAACAACTTCCTTTAAAATGTTCAACTTTACCTTCAACCAACACAATTAGGTGTTATTTTGGGCCCACTGACTTTAAAGCAAGACTTTTATAAAAAAATTATATTTTTCACATATTTGTTAAAATTATTACTATGTTGTGACAGTAAACAATTAATCTGTGAAAAAACTGAAC